AGCCGCGGGGTCTTCACAGAGACGCACACACGCCAGAGTTTCAGCGGCTTTATTTTGACGGACACAACCTCAGACACAAGCGGGGGGCAGCGCGGGGTGGACAGACGGGAGCAGTTCGGCCCGAGGTCTAAGCACCCCTCCCCCGCACATCGTCCGAAAACACGCACTGCGCCTCGACGCGGCCCCAGCCACGAGGATCGCGGCGCAGGCTTCGGGCGGCGTGGACAGGAAAGTGGAGCAGGAAGCGGGTCCCAGAGGCAAAGCCTTCCAGTCCGGGAGAAGCCAAGGGTCCTCCCGGGGTTCTCCACATCTCCTCCTCCTGAACCATTTTGTAAATGGGCACGAAGAAAACCAAATTGAAGAGCATTGAAGAGCAAAGCAATCTGCATCTAGAGGGCGTGCAAGTGGCCAGGTGTGAGCGAGTGAGCAGCGGCTATTGAACTAGCCTAGGCCTTTGGCCCCTTAGGAGTCCCCACGCCCCCTGCACAGGCCCCAGTGTGAGGGAGGGTGGGGGTTCCTGGCTAATTGCTATATTGGTCCCCTTCCTCCTTAAGCACCACCCGATCCCACCCCCCAGAGGCTAGTGTCACTTGGCCTAAGGAAGCGCTATGGACAAGGGTCACTCGAGTGCTCCAACTGCCATCCCGTGTTGCACTTTGGTCCCAAGTTGGGGCTGGGAAGGCAGGGCCCGGCGGGCACAGGGCGCTGGCAGAGAGGGGAAAGGGGTGAGCGCACACACATGCCCACCACCTGCCCGCTAACAAGGCTGGGTCTCCAAGTGTCAAAAAGTGCTGAAAAGAGAGGACCCCGCTGGGGGAGAAGCAGCCAATTCCAGGCCCCTGCTTTTTTTAGTGCCAGGAAGACACTATAAGAGGGTACATCTGCTCCCCAAATATAGAACTCGGGAGGCACAGCACACTCCAGGGGCCCCGTCTCAGCCTCTGCCTTGCCAGGAGAGGGCGGGCTACACTATGAAGAGCTACTGCCCTATGGCTGAAGCTACAGAAGGTACAGGAGCAAAGACGGCGGTTACTGACCAGAAACGAGCAAGCTGTCCCTCCCAGGCCCAAGGAATGGGAACGTGCCCACCACTGGCACCAGGATCAGAGGCTGAGAGAGACGGTACCCATCAAGGAGCCCACTGAAGATGCGTGAGGCTGCATCTGAGGGCCAGGAAACCATGAGTGACCAGGGCCTCACAGACACGGGCTAGCGAGCTTACCTGTAATGCCCAAACAGGACGTGCCCAAGGTGACAATGGCCGTGGTCCCAAGCTCTGCGGTGAGGGCACTGACCCTGGCAATGGTTAGGTGACAGCAGCATAGCCTCTGGCCAGTGTTAGACGTGGCAGGCCTCTGCCATGAAGGGCTGGCAGCAAGAAAGAACTACCACCGCGGGGAGGAAGGGATCCCTCCCGGGCCTGCCCCGCACCACTGTCAGTACTGAGTGTTGAAGGGACCACACTCCAGGCCACAGAGAGGGTGCTGGGCCAGCAGGGACACGCCTCCCACAATGCATTCTGCTCATTCTTCGTAAAGAGGCCGCACCCGCTGAAGGGCGCAGGGGCAAAGCTCACCTCGGAAACGGGAGCGAGACCCTTTGCTGAGGAAAGCAGGGCAGGGATCAGTCTTCACTAATGAACAAGGGGACACCCAGGGAAGGACCCCGAGAGACTGGAGCTGGCAGATGGACAAATGGACAGACGGACAGGCTCCAGGACTGAGAAGACAAAACTCTCCCAGCAGAGTCTGAGCCCCGCATCGGGTGCAGACCGTGTCCCTGTGCAGGCCAGCTTGCAGCTCTCCCTCCTCACCTGGGCTGCGGCCTTGAGCTTGGCTGGGGAAGTGAGCCCTGAGCGGACCACAGCCTGAGCCTGCGGGGAGCAGCCCACCCAGAGTAGCAGAGCTGCCCGCGGGGCAGGAAGAGGACGCTCGCCCACAGCACGAGGCCGTGGACGCTGTCTCGCTAGAAGCCCCGAGGCCTGGTAGGACAGACTCTTCGGCAAGCGGAGCAGGGCCCCCCTTCAGTGGGACAAGGGGCGGGGGACTCCTTAGGCAGGGATCTTGGTGGGAAAGGCTGGCTGGGGTGTGCAGACAGGAAGAGGAGCAGGTGCAAGTGACGGAGTGCCTGGGGATCCAGGGCCTGCCCTCTGCCCTAAGCTGGCTTCAGCCCAGGTTCTGAATCTAGCTTCCTGCCAAGAACAGATGAGAAGGATGGGGCCAGCTGTGCACAGCTGGCCTTGTAGTGCCCTGGGAGCGTCAGAGTGGCCGACACCCACACCACTAGGATACATGCCCCTAGAAATGGGCACCCAATCCCTCTCCTTCCGAGGAACAAGGGGTGAATGGGCATGGAGGGGCCCGGCATAAGCCCAGGGCTTCACCCCACAATTGCAGGGCCCTGCAGCCACAGGCCCTAAAAACCTAGGCAAGAGAAACCGATGTCCAAGGGCACCCTGTCCCTGGTGCAAGCCCCCCAGGGGCACCTCCACTAAGTCAGCCTGGACACAGCAGTCGGAGCTGCAGAGCTGAGGAGCCTGGCTGAGGGTGTGTGTTCTGCTCTCCTCTTTATATATATGGATGCCAGGCTACAGCTAAAACATTTCTTTTAGTTTATACCCAAGAGAAATATAACCCTTTAAAAGCAAGTCTGTGTGTCCTCACGGCGAGTTCAGATCAGTGGTCCCTGCCTGCGGGTGGAGAGGGAGGGGTTCTGGGCCCCGACCTGGGCCTACTGGTTCTCGTCCCGCATCTGCTCCATGATGCTGATGAGGTTCTCCAGGCCGAACACATAACCTCGGTCCGGCCCGTCATGCACGGTGGGGTCATCCCGGAAGCCCTTGAACGTGCTGTGTGCAAAGTCGATCATGCGGACGTCCACCTTGGGGGAGGACACGCTCTCGAGGCTGGTGTTGCTGGAGCTGCCCGGGCTGGTGCTAGGGCCGCAGGGTGGTGCCACCTCGGGCAGCCCCGTGTCCAGGTGCTTGAGACGCATCTCGGAGCGGCGGTCCAGGCAGGACTCGGGCCAGCACTCCTTGCCGTCGTAGATGACGAGCAGGGAGCTGGAGTAGAAGCGGTAGGAGGCCTGCCGCTCCAGCACCGCTTTCAGGCCCCGCAGTTTGCTCAGGATGGGCTCAAAAAGGTCACGCCGCAGGTCCAAGCCGTTGTGCAGGTACTGGTAGAGGGCATTGCGGAAGCCTTCGATGGAGAGCCCCCGGCCATAGTACTTGTTCCTGCAGAGGTAATGCCCCGTGTCCATCTGGTACACCTGAAAGCCCAGGAGACACACAGGTGAGTGCCACTGCAGTACTGAGTGCTGAGGGCCGCGCTCCAGGCCGCAGAGCCCTGGCCAGCACTGTCGGGAAAGCACTTCTGACCACGCTGAGCCTTCCTCCTGACCCCACACATGGAGCGGCGGGCCGGGGCGCCCGAGGGTCCCGCAGGACGGCCAGGAGAGACGGCCAGCCTGCAAGTCCTCTGCCATCACTTTGAAGTCCTTTTCCAAGCTGCCCTGCGACCCAGCTGGACTCAAACTAGGAACATCTGACTGACAGACAAGCGTCCTCCTTGCCCCAATGCCAAGGCAACAGGCTCTCCCAGCAGCTCTGTAGCTGGAGCCCAGTACAGAGTCACCAGACAAGGACAGAGGCCCGAGGGACATACACACGAGGAGGCGCTCAGCACCCCGGACTCACCCTCTTGGAGGAGGTTCTGGACCAACGTGGACAAGGAGAACACTGGCCTGGGGAGCAGCGGGCATGGGCTCCCTAACAGGCTGGCGGTAGCATCTGGCTCTCACCTGCATGCCACAGACCCTGACGCCCAGCGTGGCCGACGTGCTCTGCTCGCACTTGCGCATCTGCCGGGCAGCCTTCTCGGCGGACGCGTCGTCGCCGTGCTGCCGGGTGCCCATCTTCAGGTCCAGCACGCACGGGCACTTGAAGTGGTGCACCACGTTCTCCAGCAGGAGGAACTCTGCGCCCAGGTCAAGGGGACAACAGCAGTTTCTGCAAAGGGGGCCTCCCAGCCCGTCACCTGTCGTCACCTCACAGACCCACACGTGGGCTTCACAACACTGGCTTCTCTCTTCTACAAAATTGCTTATGCCCTGGCCAGTGTGGCTCAACGGTAGAGCGCTGGCCCGCACACCAAAGGCTCTCAGGTTTGATTCCTGGTCAAGGGCACGTACCTGGGTTGCAGGTTCGATCCCCGGGCATAGCAGGGGTGCATGTGGGAGGCAACCAATTGATGTCTCTCTCTCACATCAATGTCTATTCCCCTCCCCCTGCCTTCCACTCTCTCAAAATCAATAGGAGAAACATCCTTGGGTGAGGATTAACCAAAAAGATAAAATTTTATTGTGGTAAAATGCACATAACATACAATTTGCTATTTTAAATATTTTAGGTGTGAACTCAGTGGCATTCAGTAGATTCACATTATTATGCCGCCATCACCATCCGCTGCTTCTAGAACAGTGGTTCTCAACCTGTGGGTTGCGACCCCTTCGGGGGTCGAACGACCCTTTCACAGGGGTCGCCTAAGACCATCGGAAAACACATATATAATTACATATTGTTTTTGTGATTAATCACTATGCTTTAATTATGTTCCATTTGTAACAATAAAAATACATCCTGCATATCAGATATTTACATTACGATTCATAACAGTAGCAAATTACAGTTATGAAGTAGCAATGAAAATAACTTTATGGTTGGAGGTCACCTCAACATGAGGAACTGTATGAAAGGGTCGCGGCATGAGGAAGGTTGAAAACCACGGTTCTAGAACTTCCCAGACCGCAACTAGAAGCGGTGCCACTGACACTACCTCCCTGCCAACCCCGCCTCAGCCCTGG